CTTGAGTCTATGAAAACTTCTCTTCAGGAAACTATAGACAAATTTAATGAATATTAATTCAAAGCCAGGAGTGTGTGTTCAGATTAGAGTGATGGGGAAAAAGTGGGAATGAAAACAAAGTAAGCGTCTTAGAAGATATGATGGATCAGCAGAAGAAGTACTTCTCATTAAAATCAAAAAATGAATGTGAGCATCTCAAGCACTATATGGCTCTTGATGAAAATTGTGACTCCCCTTTCACTGCACAGAAAAATAATTTCGGACAATTTGAAATATATATTCCCGAATGTTGAAATTGCACTCTAGAGTGTTGGTGTGCATGACGGTGACCAACTGTACAGGAGAACGTTCTTTTTCAAGACTGAAACTTATACAATATCAGCTTTGTAGCACAATGGGGCAGCATTGTTTGAACTGGCTTTCACTCGTGTGCATGGAAAATGACATCCTGAAGACCATTGAATTCAAGCCAATAATAAAGCAATTCTCTGAAAAGAAATGCCACAGCATAAGAAGTTTGTAGTAATTTCATATTGTGCCATCTAATCTGTGTAGCTTACTGAGTATTATTGTGTTTTTCAATCCTTGTGTATTGTTCAAATGTTTTATCATTTTGATTAGTTGCTGCTCTACAGCATGTTTTTAATGTTTTAACACCAATTGTGTTGAAGTGCCAATAAAATAAATATATGTTTAATATTATTAACCATTTACTTTTTTCCTATGAGTGGTTGTCGTGGGGTGGTTTGGTTAGGGTGTCGTATTAGGTTGGCACAGGGGGCCATAATACTGTTAACACGGCTCAGAGTATTACAATGGTTCGTACTAGAGCTCATTCTGTTCCTAATATATGTCAAAGTCCTAACAGGAAACTGGATCATTACATAATAATATAAGAATAAAAACAAACTGCAGATGACCTTTTTGGGCCATGTGAGACAGCTCCTGTTTATACCCAACCAAATTTATTCCAATATACTGTATATACAATGTATGTTGAATCAATCTAGTGGTGCTACGTCTATTATGTCGTTTGGTAGTGTCTTTCATAAATCAATATTCCTATTTCCAAACTACTGTAGTACTTACCCAGATCTTTCTCCCATGGAGCAGTTGGTGGACAAAACCACCACCTGGCTTTTTAAGTCAATTAGCAGGTGGAGTTGTCCACCTGTGCATGAATCAGTTGTTCCCAGTCTATGTACATGTAACACCATTTCAATATTATGAAGCTTTTGCGGTGCACTCATTTTGCCAGGATTAGGGTCAGTGGTCTTACCTTTACCTCTTTCATCTGGTAAAGCTCCTTCCCATGCTACACAGGATGGAAATGCTTGCAAACAGAATTGTTCTGACTGCTATGTAGTCATTTAAATCCTAATTTTTGGTTGTTCAAGCTTGTTTTCCTGGTCCTCTTCCCTTCCCTTCCCTTCCCTTCCCTTCCCTTCCCTTCCCTTCCCTTCCCTTCCCTTCCCTTCCCAAGTCTTGGCCCATTCCAAGAAATCGGCAGGTTGACCTATCAAAACAGCTTGAGGCTCTCCGCAGATCTTCATGTATGGAGTGTGTTTAGGTCTTGTTTACTGTTGCCTGTATGCAGGTTAGTTGGCAGCCCGGTGTGGATATGGAAGAAATGGCTAATTTCCTAAAGAAAGTTACAAGATTAAACAGATTTCAGAAATACACACACACACACAGTGATTTTAGAAGAATAGGAAAATATGAGAAAGAAAAGAACCGCCCCTTAAGGGTGACGTTTAATGGAGTGAAAAACATGATGGAAGTGCTAAGAAATGCCAGGAAACTGCAGAGTGATGAGGTTGGCAAACTTTGGTCAATAAGACAAGACCTCTCCAAGGAAGACAGAGAAAAGCTGAAAATGAACCTAATTGAGGCAAAACGTCTAAATGGGGATAGAAATGAAGAAGACAGAAATTCTTTTTTTTACAAAGTGACAGGGACTGGAAAGCTTGTGAAATGGTACATAAAAACAAAGCAACAAGATCATTAGTGGAAGGGGGAGTAAAGAGCAAAGGAAAAGGGAACATGTTCCTGAAAATTGTATATACCAACATAGATGGAGTGAGGTCAAAAACTTTGGAGTTGCAAGATGTAATCCAGCTTAGGGTCCCAGATATTGTTGCATTATCAGAGACAAAACTTGAAGGAAATATAATAAATGAAGTCATATTCCCAAGAGGCTATTCAGTTTGGAGACGTGACAGGAAAACTAGGAAGGGAGGAGGAGTGGCTGTACTGGTGAAAAAACACCTGAAGGTAAAAAGAGTTAATATTTGAAAACCCTCGAGATATTGACATAATGGCATTGCAGGTCTGGAATCAGGATGATAAGCTGATAATTGTAAATACCTACAGCCCACCAGCAAGCAACACATGGACAAAGGAAGAACTGGATGACAAACGAGAGGGCCTCATAATGGTCATGAGAGATATTATTGTACAAGCAGATAAAGATAAATCACGACTGTAGATACTGGGGGACTTCAACTTTAGAGCAATAGACTGGGAGGCCTATGAAGCAAGAACGGAGGACTTTTGGACATGCAGATTTGTGAACCTCATTCTGGAGACATTCTTGTATCAACACATAAAGCAAGCCACAAGAATGAGGGAAGGAGATGTACCGTCAGTACTGGATCTAGTGTTCACCAGGAAAGAAGAAGAGATTTTTGACATCCAGTACCTTCCTCCCTTGGGAAAGAGTGATCACGTCCTGTTAGACATTAAATATGCTTTAAGATATCATCTAGAAGAAAATGGGGACATTGAAACAGTTGATAAACTCGATTTAAGGAGAGGCAACTATGGGGAACTTCGAAATTTTTTTAATGAGTGTAATAGGACAGAATTGTTGATAGGCAGGGAAGTAAATGAAATGTATGCCAAATTTTTAAAACTATACGAGGAAGGCACACAAACATTCATACCAAAACAGAGATGCAGGGCCAGAAAACAGGGTTGGTTCGACAGAAATTGTGAGAGGGCAAGAGACCAAAAGACACAAAAATGGAATCAGTATAGGAAGAGGCCAAACCCCCAAACATACCAGCGATACAAAGATGCGAGAAACAACTATACAGCAGTAAGGAGAGAGGCAGAAAGAAATTTTGAAAAAGGGATAGCAGATAAATGTAAAACAGAATCGGGCCTATTCTACAAATTCATAAACAACAAATTGCAGGTAAAGGATAATATACAGAGGTTGAAAATGGGAAACAGATTCACGGAAAATGAAAAGGAAATGTGCGAAACATTAAATGAAAAGTTCCAAAGTGTGTTTGTACAAAATGAAATCTTCAGAGAACCAGACGCAATAAGAATTCCAGAGAACAACATAGAGCGGATTGAGGTGTCTAGAGATGAAGTGGAAAATATGCTAAAGGAGCTCGGTAAGAACAAAGCAGCTGGCCCAGATGGCGTTTCACCATGGGTTCTGAGAGAATGTGCATCTGAGCTCAGCATTCCACTTCACCTGATCTTTCAGGCATCCCTGTGTACAGGAATCGTAGCAGACGTGTGGAAACAGGCTAACATAGTTCCAATCTACAAAAGTGGCAGCAGGGAAGACCCCCTCAATTATAGACCTGTATCATTGACGAGTGTAATAGTGAAAGTATTGGAAAAACTAATCAAAACTAAATGGGTAGAACACCTGGAGAGAAATGATATAATATCAGACAGACAGTATGGTTTTCGATCTGGAAGATCCTGTGTATCGAATTTACTCAGTTTCTATGATCGAGCCACAGAGATATTACAGGAAAGAGATGGTTGGGTTGACTGCATCTATCTGGACCTAAAAAAGGCTTTCGACAGAGTTCCACATAAGAGGTTGTTCTGGAAACTGGAAAATATTGGAGGGGTGACAGGTAAGCTTCTATCATGGATGAAAAATTTTCTGACTGATAGAAAAATGAGGGCAGTAATCAGAGGCAATGTATCGGAATGGAGAAATGTCACAAGTGGAGTACCACAGGGTTCAGTTCTTGCACCAGTGATGTTTATTGTGTACATAAATGATCTACCAGTTGGTATACAGAATTATATGAACATGTTTGCTGATGATGCTAAGATAATAGGAAGGATAAGAAATTTAGATGATTGTCATGCCCTTCAAGAAGACCTGGACAAAATAAGTATATGGATCACCACCTGGCAAATGGAATTTAATGTTAATAAATGTCATGTTATGGAATGTGGAATAGGAGAACATAGACCCCATACAACCTATATATTATGTGAGAAATCTTTAAATAATTCTGATAAAGAAAGAGATCTAGGGGTGGTTCTAGATAGAAAACTATCACCTGAGGACCACATAAAGAATATTGTGCAAGGAGCCTATGCGATGCTTTCTAACTTCAGAATTGCATTTAAATACATGGATGGCGATATACTAAAGAAATTGTTCATGACTTTTGTTAGGCCAAAGCTAGAATATGCAGTTGTTGTGTGGTGCCCATATCTTAAGAAGCACATCAACAAACTGGAAAAGGTGCAAAGACATGCTACGAAGTGGCTCCCAGAACTGAAGGGCAAGAGCTACGAGGAGAGGTTGGAAGCATTAAACATGCCAAAACTAGAAGACAGAAGAAAAAGAGGTGATATGATCACTACATACAAAATAGTAACGGGAATTGATAAAATCGACAGGGAAGATTTCCTGAGACCTGGCACTTCAAGAACAAGAGGTCATAGATTTAAACTAACTAAACACAGATGCCGAAGAAATATAAGAAAATTCACCTTCGCAAATAGAGTGGTAGACGGTTGGAACAAGTTAAGTGAGAAGGTGGTGGAGGCCAAGACCGTCAGTAGTTTCAAAGCGTTATATGACAAAGAGTGCTGGGAAGACGGGACACCACGAGCGTAGCTCTCATCCTGTAACTACACTTAGGTAATTACACTTAGGTAATTACACACACACACACACTAAAAAAAAATATATATAAAAAATTGTAATAATGATCTGTCTCTTTCAGAAACGTGTTGTTGTGGATGTTGTTCACCGAAACCAAGAAATTGAAGATGGCAAAAGCTTCAAGGGAATTTATGGTTATGCGGGGCTGCCACGAAGATGCTGGTTGAGTGATAGTAAACGATTTGTGTTTTCTTCCATGAAGTTTGACAATATCGTTGTATATGTTGTTAATGTTGGTAAGTTTCAGAACCTTTTGCAGATGCTTACCAAACAAAATTTAGTGTCAGGTTCATTATTACTGCAACCTACTTAACAAAAGTTTTAACGAAATTCAGCACTTTAGTTCATACTGTGTTTCCCCCAGCACTACCATTGCTCAGAGAATGGATATGGAGATGCATATTAAATAAAAAAATAAAGTAGCTTATTTATATACAGTGATACCTCGGAATACGAGTGTCCCTGTATACGAGTTTTTTGGAATACGAGCAGGATTTGCTCAGAAAATTTGCCTCGGAAGGCGAGGGTTACTTCGGAATCCGAGTTTGTTGATACGCGTACAGGCCGAACTAGCCCGTGATGGCACGACAATCGGCGCTCAGTTTACCAGTGACTCGTGTCCAGTGACTATCCTGCCTGAATTCTTCTCCAGGATTTTCAGTGTTTTGTTGGATTTTTGGTCATTTGACCATAAAAGGTGTCATTATATATCTCGCGATGGGTCCCAAGAAAGCCTGTGGTAAGGTTCAAGCCAAGAAATCGCATGTCAGGATGACAATAGAGGAAAAGCAAGAGATCATTCGGAAGCATGCAAATGGTACACGTGTTGTTGAACTTTGTAGGCAATACAGTAAATCCACGTCAACGATATGCACTATACTTGCCAAGAAAAAGGACATTATGAGTGCTAATGTGGCAAAAGACGTAAGAACAATCACGAAACAAAGACCACAAATACTTGAGGATGTTGAAAAGAAGAAGTGGTGTCAGATGTGGGAAGAAATGCAAACTTTTATTTAAATGACTCACCCAGAGAAAGCTGTAGTAGGCCATTGCATTAATCTTTTCAATGACAATGTGATGCCTCACTACAGAGACATCTTGCGAAGAAGGGAAAAACAATCTTCCATGGACAGATTTGTTGTGATAAAGTCGAGCAGTGAGCCACAACCAGGACCTAGTGGTATGCAGGCAAAATGTGCCAGAGAGTGCACACCAGAAAGGTCCTCACTGCCTGATGTTACAGTGGAAGGGGACTCCCTTTCCAAACAGTAACACCTCTCCTCCTCCCCCCCTCCTCACCATCTTCCATATGCCATCAGGAGTCATCAGCAAGGATAAGTAATAACTTGAACATAGTTTTGTAGTGTAGATTTAGATGAATTAGATATATAATTTAGTTTGAAGTGAGGTTTTTGGGTAGTCAAGAACGGATTAATTCATTTTCCATTATTTCTTATGGGGAAATTAGCTTCAGATTATGAGTTTTCGGAATACAAGCTGTCTCCAGGAACGAATTAAACTCTTAAACAGAGGTACCACTGTATTTTAAATAAATATATATATATATATATATATATATATATATATATATATATATATATATATATATATATATATATATATATATATATATATATATATTATTACACATTATTATACAAGAAGGTATAATTTGTTATGAAATTACATAATTTGATTAAATGGTATATTCTTGTAAATCCACTAGACGTATCGTGTATATCATTTTCAGCAAACGGCTTGTCAACTAAATAATACTATCTATTTACTGTAAGTCCTGCCCCATAGAATACATGTATACAGGCCACTTTGTCTACTCTCCATAGCACCCCCAAGAAGTTCTCATAATTTGTCCAGTATCTAATTTGACGTGATTTTGCATTAGCAGAAACATACAAGCCCTGCAACCTACCTATCAATTACAGTGTCCATTACTCCATGGAAGTGGTAAAATTACAGAGCTTTAATTTCATTAGCGTACTGGAATTTGAACATTAGTTGGTAGCATCCAAATTAAAATACATCAAGTGATAAGAGTTCAAAACTAGCATGCCAGAGTGTTAACATAGTTAACATATCATAACATGTTAACATATCAAAGCGTTATATGACATAGAGTGCTGGTAAGATGGAACACCACGAACATAGCTCTCATCCTGTAACTACACTTAGGTAATTACTTAGGTAATTATATGTCCAGCCAGTCACTATCTCAATGATCAGCAAGATACACCAAACAACACAGCATTTAATCTTAGAAAGGCTACCTTATTATATCCTTAGTACAGAGCAGTGAGCAATCCGTAATTTATTGAACATTTCACCATTGCACCTTCTCCATAAATAACAAGCAATGAAAACAGTGGAGTTTATAGCGTCAAACAGTAATATACTGGTGGGGCAGGCCAACACATAGATAAACAACAATTATCGCTTGTCCCCTGTAACCTACACGTTACTTGGCTACTACAAAGAAACCTTTGTTCTGATTAAAAATGTTTTCTGACAGCATTTAAACATTGTTTCTATACATCAGTGTTTCAAAATATGACATTCATGTTTATCTAAATTTGCTCCATTAAAGTTTCTCAATAATTCCCTGAGCTAAGTGCTGGGGAAGCCGTAGGGAGATGGAACACGCCTTTGAGACTTCCCCTTGCATACCAGGAACCAAGACTTTCTTTACAAGGCGAGGGGAGCCTCTGAATCACGGATCACCCTAACACCAAGAAAGAACCTTCCAAAAAGCATAAACATAACAAAACAAGAAACTGCTTGATGAAAATAGGATACCTAGGGATAACAAAGAAAATGATCATTGTTATGGGGTAAAAACCCCAACCATTATGTTTCTGACTGATGCCACAAGACAGCCCAGGTCATCTGAGGTCCAGCTATAACCTGCTCCTTGAGAGGTTACTTTGAGATGATTTCGGGGCTTTGCAACCCCGCGGCCCAGTCGTCGACCAGGCCTCCTCGTTGTTGGACTGGTCAATCAGGCTGTTGGACGCGGCTGCTCACAGCCTGAAACACGAGTCACAGCCTGGTTGATCAGATATCCTTTGGAGGTGTTTGTCAAGTTCTCTCTTGAACACTGTGAGGGGGGTCGGCCAGTTATGCCCCCCCCCCCTCCAAAAACCCACCAGAACTGAACCCTTCCATCCGACCAGGAAAAGCCATATCATTACATTCAAGGCTTGATTTCTATGAGGGGTTTCTCAGTAGCTCCCCAGGTTAACTCACAATGATATCTTGGTAGAGAAGGCTGGCATTTTGGAAACTGAACAAAGTAGGAAACAGGATAAAGCATGTAGAGCGTACCTGTGAGAGAAGGCAGAGGCTAAGGACTTGGGGCAGTGGGACACCAGCAGTGCAACACAGTTTTGGCCTCTACCACCTTCTCACCAGGTGGTGGAGGCCAAAACCGTCAGTAATCTCAAAGCGTTATATGATAGAGTGCTGGGAAAACGGGACACCACGAACATAGCTCTCACCCTCTAACTACACTTAGGTAATAACACGCTAACCATTGCTGTACAGTGTGGTGGTTACCACCATCCGCAGCTAGATGAATGGTGGCTTAAGGTGCCAGTTGTGCCACCTGGTGGCATGTGGGAGTGTTGCACGAGTGGTTGTATCACTTGTTTGCAAAATTGTATTTGGTAATGTTCACCAGACCACACACTAGAAGGTGAAAGGACGACGATGTTTCGGTCTGTCCTGGACCATTCTCAAGTCGATTGTTACTTGAGAATGGTCCAGGACGGACCGAAACGTCGTCGTCCCTTCACCTTCTAGTGTGTGGTCTGGTCAACATACTTTAGCCATGTTATTGTGACTCATTGCCTGCATTTGGTAATGTTCAGATTACCAAACACTTTTTGGAGGAAGTTTAATGATGTTTTGTGAGATTGAAGTGTCGTTCACCTCGGTACTGAAGGAAGTCGTCTGTGATTGGCACTCATAGCCTGCCTCAGGGAGGAGGAGCCAGTTGAAGTGGTACTTGGTCCTCGTAGGCAGAGACTGTCACAGAAACCTGGCATGTCCATCATGGCCTTACAGTACCAGTGCTGTAAGCCAAAGAAACTACTGTGGTACCACCTAAAAACTAGGCATTTCATTACACTTGATGCTATATTATTTTCTTTGTTTTCCTAAGTCATCTTCTTCCTTGATAATTGTATTGCTGCATTGTATTTTTCCTGAAGAAAACAACTTTTACTTACAATTACAGACAGCCTTACAATAGCATTACAATACACACACAAATCACAATAGCGTGATGCATCAAATTATCAAATCCAATAGGGCCGTGACGAGGAATGTCGTCCATGTTGTAGCTCAGTCGATTAAGGCAGCGTCTGGGATCTTCTCGGACGTAGGTTTGAACCCTCATCACAGGCCTTGTGGATTTGTTCAATAGCATTACAATTTCTTTTGTAAAAATTGTCACAGACATTTTTGTGTTACAGAGTCTGGCAAGATCACAGAATTAACTCATACCGGAAGTCATCAGGTCGTGGACGTGTGCGACGACTGGGTGTTGGTGAACTTCTCGTATATCTGCCAGCCCACTCAGATCTTGCTGGGCTATATCCCACAGCAGGGCCAAGAAAGTAAACTGAAGATGAAAGAGGTTAATATTTGGTGTTCTCTACAGTGCATGTGTATCATTCAAGCAAAATTGTAGACTTTGTTTCAGAATGTTTTGCATGGCTTCCTGTTAAAATTTAGGCCACTGCAGATGGTGACCCTAGGGTAAATATGCAAAGGCTGAGAGTGTATCATCCCCCTTTAGCAAGTCTTATGTTGTCAGAATGTTTTGCATGACTTCCTGTCACAATTTAGGCCACTGCAGATGGTGGCCCTCGGGTATATATACAAAGGCCGAGAGAGTATCGTCCTCTTTAGATAGTCTTGTGTTGTCTCTTATCATTGTAACGTCATTTCCTGTGTAGTGCTGACCACAAGTTTGAGTTCTTTTCCTTTTTTAATCATACCATTTTGAATGACTATGGTCCTTAAACAGTTCCAGGATTTAGTATTGCGTTTTGTATATTTTTCTTTGTAAATTTCCTTTTAAATTTTTGTGTTTATTTGCATTGTGCCAGCACTGTTATATTGTTGTAGCAGAGTGGTCTACGTCCTCGGCTCACAACCAAGGGACACCTGTTCAATCTCTGGTCAGGATAAAATTGGTTGAGTATGTTTCCTCTCACCTGATGCTCTGTTCACCTAGCTTAACTTCTTAGTCTGTAGTGGAATCTTGGCAGTGAACTAGAATGGGCACTACTATCAAATTTTAACAAGACTACGTGAAATTTTCCATGTGGAAATAACATTAGTTAGTGAATATGAGATGCTCAGAGTCTCTTCTTCTCATTTCACTACATCCCTAACTCTCAACCCCTAAATGAAATTTCTCAGTCTCTCGATTTACCCCCTCCCCCCTTCCCTTTCCCTGTAAAAAATTTACCATTTTGCCTAACCAGAAATGACCCCCTCCCCCCCCTTTCCCTGTAAAAAATTTACCATTTTGCCTAACCAGAAATGTACAAATGCAAACAACACACCAAATATGTCGAGCCAATGCACAGCAAAAGTCAATATTACTGTGCATTAAGTTTTACTAATGAATCACAACATTTTAACGGCTTGCTCAATTTGGTGACAAAATGTGTTATGTTAGGCGAGAGGACCAGTTGTATGGAAAGCTCCTTTCTGAGCAGGTCATGAGGACCAAGGAATGTCCTTCTCTTCCCAAGGATCACACACAGCCAGGACGTTTGACATTAATGCTCAACACGGCAAAGATCTATTCATATGTCCCTCAGAAAGAATAGCAATGACCTGGGCTGCCCTCTGGTGGGTGTCAGGCATGTCATATATAGGGGTATCTTCTATGAGTATCATATCTTTTAGGGTATCATAGAAATCTCTCAGGGTAAATAACCCTGAAGAAATTATTGTTGCCTTTCTTTTACCTTTTTTTTTTCTTTTTCGGTTGCAATTCTTTTACCATGTCATGAAGTAGTCGACTAAGGCAGCGTCTGGAATCATCCCGGGCTTAAGTTCGAACCCTCATCACGGCCCTTGCGGATTTGTTTATTATTGTTGCCCTGTTTACCTCTTGAGTATCTAATATTCATCCAGCAGTTGTTTTTTATATTTGTTGTACTTTAATCATTCCGGTGGATCTTTTCTGAGTTTTGGGTTGATCACCAATCCCCAAGCTCCCCTTTACATTGTAGAGAGAGCCAGATTCTGGTGCTAGCTCCTGGTAGGCACGGGGTGGGTCTGCCAGAAAAGGACATCTTATTACATTCAGTGCTTGATTTAACTCCCCATCCCTACAACGACCCAATGGAAATCTTCACAAAAATCGCAGCTGCATTGGCAAGTAAATACCAACCAAACCTGACAGTGTCAGGTCTTATCTCTCGGGAATGCAAGATATTACCAGAAGAAGCAACTAGATAATACATGTCTGAAAGTGGAATAAATATGTACTGTACATGCAGAATTGTTACAATATTAATAAATAACACACTTGCAAAGCTACCCAGTCCTTTGAACTGAGCGGTTGCCTTGACTGGATTGGCAGGTGACGTGTCGTCGTGAGATTCCCGGAGTGCCCAACCACTACCACTCTCAGTGGACGTTCATAAACGACACGCCTCATCCTGATCCCAAGTACTCGGATGTACCGGTCTCTGTCATTTATTATGGCCCAACTTCTCTTGAAGAAGGTAAGAATGATGTTGAAGTGGACACTTTCTCATTATACTGCTTAATTTAATTAGTATTTGTGTTGGTATGATGCATGACATTGTTGTTCATTCTGAGTTTAGTGTTTCAAGTTAAATTATTACAAAGTATCTTGTTTATGTAATTGACACCACCCAGTTTTCAAGCTTTCAAAGGATGTGTAGGCAATTACTCAAAAAGATATGAGAGTAGTTTTTTTCTGGAGGGAGCCCCATTGGCTCCCCAGAGCTATCCAGGCTGATATGTTACTATTAGCTTTCTGACATCAAAGTGCATGGAGTTTTTGCCTACCGGGGACCATGAGCCAGAACCTGGCCCTCCTCAGAGAAGCACGAGGAGCAATGGCCTACAGAAACCCCCGTGTGGTTGAAAGCATTCTATGTCTGCCATCAACCGGGTCTGGCACCCAGAAAGGTAGGCGCCCCAAAACAAAACCCCTATTTTAGTGAAAATATTGCTGCCAAAAGCTGAATGAGTGGACAGAACTCCCCAAATGAAAACTAGCAACTAGCATGACATCATCACGTTGCCGTGCCGCCGTCTGCGCATCCCCCCCTCCCCAGGAGGGGGAAGAGGGGAGCCCCAGACCTCCATGCCGGCAATCCAACTTCCAGTTCTTAGGCTAATGTGGTACTGACTGGTCAGGTGCCTCTGGCTCCAGTTTTGTTTTCAGTTACTGTGCCTTGTGGCATGATCTGTTTCTGCAGGTGGTGTATGAGCCATGAGTGATATTCTACGGTGCTCGGGCTGCATGCACCTAGGGTTTCTTCCCCTAGGTGCCCTGTAAGTACTGCCCTTGGGGCTTATGGCCACCTTCCACAATTCACCTTGGGATCTACCTCCACTGTGTCTTTTACTGCTCGGTACTTGGCCGCCCTTGGAGTCAGCTGGGGTCTTTGTTGCCCTTGTTTGCCTCTGGGTAGGAGGTAGTTTTCATCACTGGTAGGGGCACAGGCTACTGCACAGCTAGTTGTTACCTATTATGGGGGCAGGCTCTGTTCCGCATGGATACATTGTCCTCTTGTAGAATTTTTCTTTTGTTTTTGTTTTCCTGCCTGGTGGGGTCTGCCTTTGGTTGGTTGCCCCCTTTTTTCTGTTAGGCTCTTTCTCTTATATATGTCAGTGTTTTGGTGGTACCCCCTGCTTGGCCTCCATGAGTGGACATGTCCCGGGGGATTCACCTTTAGAAGTTTGCTTAGTAGTTTTGGGCGCCGGTTTGCAGTACCCTGCCTGGGCTTCCCTTAGCATGTTCTCAAGGGTAAGAGCCCTGGGAAAACCCCGCGGGGGCTCTGTGGTCCAATGGATGTGACCCGTGAGTCCCCCCCCCTTTCGCTTCATGTGAGGTTGATGGCTGCTCTGTCCCCTTGTCTCAGGGTGACATTCACCGGTTGTGCCTCCGCCTTGCTGCCTGTAGGGTCGGTGGTTCTTTAGATCCGGAGTTGTGCGACGTTGTTGTTGGTGCACGCTCACGCTCATCCTCGCTACTGATCATGGTCTGAGAGTGCAGGCAGCAGCTGCTTTGCATGCTAGGTTCTGGTTGCTGCAATGCGATGGTTTGGTTGCTTCCCCAGGTGCCCTAAGACTTGCTGCCGACATGCGGGTCATGTCGGCAGGCAGTGCTAGCTGCTTCTTCGTATTCCACTTGGGCCCTAGCCCTTGGGTTGTCTTTGTCTTTTTGTCCTTTGCGGAGTTTGCGGTTGTGCAGTATCTGCAGGTGTCCTATGTCGGACTTGTTAGTCCTCTGGGGGGCTCGTGGGAGGCCTTCCTGCTGGAGGGGATCGTGTCTGGGCTCATGGTTCTCCCGTCGTGGTTGGCCTGTGGTGCCCATTTGAGGGCAGGCACAGCCTTCGGTTCTGTCTTTTTCTGGTCGGTGCGGGGATTGCCCTTTGCACCGTTTAGGTTCTCGTATGGAGCATCGGCCTTTTCGCGGTTCATTTCATTGCTGGGGCGATGAGAGGGGGAGGCTTGTTCTGTTTGCTCACGGCTGGTCCCTCGATTCGTGGGCTTTTCGGGTCGTTATGCACTGCCTGCGGTGGCGTTGAGTGGCTCCTTCCTCTTCGGGGGGTGGGGGGTTGGGGCTGGCAGGGCGGGCCTCTTTTCCTGCACTCTATCGAGTCTTCTCGGAGTAGGTTCACTTGGGCGTGGTCGAAATTCCCTCATTTCTCAGGTGGGTTCTCGCCTGTTTCCGGTCCCAAATCAGGACTGCGCGGACCTCCGATTCAGTCCGGACTTGTCCTGTCTGAAACCGTGGGTTTATTGCCCTTCCCTTCGGATGCCTCCTCTGTCTCAGGTCCGTCTTCTGTTGAAGCCGGGCACTTGGATGGTGACCCTGGACCTCAAAGACGTGTATTGGCACGTCTCAATTCATCCGAGGTTCGGGGGCTGGCTCGGTTTTGTTGTGGGGTGTTCGAGGCCTGCCACTTCGTTGCCTTCCATTCTGCTTGACTTGCGCCTTGTATTTTCACATTTCTTGCTTGGGTCGGGATGGCCCGCCTGCGTCTGTTTGGTATTCGGGTTCTGGTCTACCTTGACGGCTGGTTGGGTTGGGTTCCCAGCCGGTCCTCGTGTCTGCTCGCTGGTGATTGGTTCTTTCCCGGCTTGCTGGGTTCGATTTGCTGGTGAACTGGTGGAAGTCCCATATGGTTCCCTCTCCAGTTCAGTCTTGGCTGGGTTTTGTGTGGGGCTCTTGGACTGCTTCCTTGTCTCTTCCTCAGGTGGCTCTGCTTTGAATGCACTTCGTATGTTCCCGAGGGGCTCCCGGGTTACGCAGTGGCTGCTTGTGGATTATGCGGAGTGCCTGAACTTTGCCATGATGGTCTTCCCGCCAGGTCGGGAGTGGCTTTGTCGGCTGTTCTGGTTCATTCGAGGATGTTCCTTCCGCCTCTCTCACAACCGCTGGGTTTGGCATCCGGGGACTTCCTCTTGGGGTTTTCGGGGTTCAGTGCCTCGGTGCCTACCCGAGCCCTCGCTCGATGTTCTCACGGACGCGTTGTCTCTTGGTTGGGGGTTTGTGACCTGTGCTCGCCAGGCCAGCCTGGGACGGTGGGGTCCGTCCTTCCGCCGGGTTCACGGCACGGTGCGGGGGTTGACGGCTGTGTGGATGTTGCTCAGGAGGTTTCGGGTCGTTCGCAGTTCGACGATCCAGCTCCATTCAGACTATTTCCCAGTGGTTCCTTGCCTGAACCGTGGGGGTTTGGTGTAGTCTTTGGCTCTTTGGGTCTGGTCGCTTCGGGTGACTCGTCTGCTGAGTTCTCGGGATTTGGCTCTCCTGGCGTTTCACGTTTGGGGGTGTCCTAGGTACTGGCTTGCTGGGAGCCTTCCGGAAGTGTGTTGTTCTTCTGGCTCTTTGATGGCCGGCCCAGCCTTGATTCAGGCACTGTTTGCTCGGTGTCCTAACCCGAGGGTCTTCCTGCAGCTCCGCCTCTTTTTGCAGATTGATCCAGCCAGGTACGTAGCTGGTTCGTTCTTCTCCTTGAGTCTACCTGCGTGCTTTGTCTTCGGCGGCAATATGAAGTTTCCTGGCGGTTGTTCCGGTTTTCCTATCCCTGTGTGGGTGTACTTCGTTCTCTGATGGGGTTGTATTGTCCTTTCTTTCGTGGTTGTTCCAGGACCGTCATCTTATGCCAAATACTGTTGCCTCCTATCGTGCAGCGCTGGCGGAGTTGCTGCAGCTTGCTTTCAGAATAGATGTTACTTCTGCCCCATTTTGCAAGCTGTCTCAGGCGTTGTTTCACCCCCTGCCTGCTCATGCACAATCTGAGCCATCCTGGTCCTTGTAAAGGGTGCTCTCATATTTGTCTTCTCCTCGTTTTGTTGTGGCCTCTTCGGTTCAGAATTGTTTTTCTAAGGCTCTTTTCTTGTTGGCATTGGCCTCTGGGGGTAGGATTGGAGAGCTTCATGCTCTCCTCTGGTGCAGGGGTTTTTGCTCTTTTGGTTGTGGAGATAGGTTTGTTCGTCGGCAGCTGTCTCCTTTTCTGGTGAAAATTAAGACTGCTGCTTTCCAGAGGGGCCCTTGGATTGTTGATGCTTGGTTGGTCAGGACGGGGGTTCATCATGTGTTGTGTCTGGTTACCGGTTAAGGCGCTCTACCGTTATTTGTGTGCCACGGCCTCGGTGGCTGGGGACGCGCTTTAGGTTGATCCGGTTTCCCCTTCTTCCCTGTTCCCGGGTCTTGGGATGTCCACAGGGTTATTAGGTCCAGCCAGCCTGCGGTCTATCCCCGTGCCCATGACGTTCGTAAGTTTGCTGCACTTGCTCTTGCTGCCGTCTTCGGTTGACATTCGGGCACGGGGTTTTTCGCGGTCGAACAGGGTCCTGGCTGTATGCTACCTCATAAATGTTCTTGGGCCTAGTCGGGCCTCTGTCTCTTTGGGTCAGCGGTTGCAGCCAGTTGTCTTTACTTCGAGTTGAGATGCGAGCACGGACTGCCTCCCAGGTAAGTCCCTCTAGTTTTTGTCTTGGGTGAAGTAGCTCTGGGAAGCTGCAGGGGCTCCAGGGAGCCACAGGGGCTCCCCCCAAAAAAACAGTATTGAATGTAATGAAACGCCATTTTCTGGGCCGGGGAGTCTCAGAAGCTTCCCGGCATTCCCTCCTTTCCCCGGTCAGGGTTTCGCGTTTTTTGACATCCAAACTGAGAACTAGTGGTTGGATCGCCGACGCAGTGGGTCTGGGGCTCCCCTTCCCCCTCTCGGGAAGGGGGGAGCTGACTGATTGCAAAGTCTAGGGATATACATATCAGCCTGGATAGCTCCGGGGAGCTTCCAGGACTCGCCCTGAAAATGGCGTTTCATTACATTCAACGCTGGTTTTTCTATGGCCTTCCACATGTCCCCATCCATATATAATACATTGATCAACCATGTGTCATTAAACAATCCTATATACAAAAATATGTCACTCAAGTTTTTAGTAAATTAAATATGTTCTAATGAGATCTGCAGTGACATAACCTTTCTCAAAGTATATAAAACCTCAAAATTATTTCCACATTTTCTTCACTGTGTTAATGCATATATCTGATCCACACAATCCTCTTGCAGGTGCTGTGAAACGCCCATTGATTTGCTGGCCACATGGAGGCCCTCACTCTGTTCTCACAAATGTTTATTCAATGGCTGCAGCATTTTTTGTCAAACTTGGATTTTCCATAGTTTTCCCTAATTATCGAGGGTCTCTTGGCTTCGGAGAAGATGGTGTCAATTGTCTACCTGGCTACTGTGGGGTGACTGATGTATCTGATGTTCACAAGGCCACCATAGAGTGTTTACACAGGTCAGTTCTACCATTTGTCACGTAAAACGTACTTATCGGTTAATGTCATTTTGTAGTTATCTGATTTGGTTGTCTCCTAAGGCTGATTTTGTGGAAAAGATAATGCTCAGTCAGGACAGGTCACTATTCTATGTTGTCATAGCAGGGTTCCCTTCTGTCCGCAACAGATTATAACGGTGCTAGGAAACTTGGAAAATGTTTATTCCATCTTGAAATTAACACTAGATAGTTTATGCATATGTTTACAAAGTGTGTCTAGTTGCTATGTAGCATCACAGCTACAGCAAAGTAGGTCCATCACTTACTGTACCAGTTGGGTCATTTAGTCACCTCGTATAATGAGCAATCTCAGTTCCCAGCTTTTGTGGATTGCTGGAACTCTATTCCTAGTACTTTAATGGTTGGAGCTCCTTTAGTATAGCCACTATTGGGTGTAGGGATGAATGAAGGCTATGGGCACTGTACTGGTTTTAGCACGCCAGGGGAATTTGTAGCTTGATCTCACAGTTCAGTATCAGTTCAGTACAGCATTGGCTCATCTTGGTGAGCTCATACCATTTTATTCATAGGTGTCACATGATAGTGTTGAGAGAAAGTGGCCAGATGGGACAAGTGGCAGTTTGCAAGAGTGCTACATTGTGATCCCTGTTACATCAAGTAGGGCTCGGTAAGGTTTTGTTGGTGTGAAATTTCTGTAGTCATTCAAAACAGGATTGGGTTTTTCTCCAGTCCCTCCCTAGCACCAGTATGACCCCAACAAGAACATAAGTAAAGCTCCATTGCAGTGTTGCTGAAAGTGACCCTATCATCATTGTGTTCAATTTGGAGCAGCAGGAACCTTGCCTTTGGGAGAATCACAGTAGAACATTTCAGAAATGAATATTAAATTTATGGAATAACAGATAATTTGAGACTATAGAGGCTACATAATAACCCGAGTGCTTGCAAGCAAAGTAAATTTTAAGCTGTTTTCTGATGAATGACAATTGTCACAGTGAACCAATAAGAATAAACATTTCATGTAATTGCAGTCATAAATTTTCATGTTTATTTGATTAATTAGGACTTATTTTTGCACAAGAAATTGATACATAATTTTGCATTGTTTACCAAATAATGTCTCATCATGACAGATTTTCTGAGGTTTTGGATGAATCTCGTGTGTTCCTGTTCGGTGGATCCCATGGCGGGTTTCTGGTGACACACCTAGCAGCTCAGTACCCAGTAAGTCAGAGTTCATCTCAAGTAATCCTTAAAGAGCTGTGTAAAAGCCATATATTCATCTGTGTATGAAAGAAAAAAGTACTGAAAACCCATAACGATTGATCACACCCGGTAACAGTAATATTAATGACAAATGTAAGAGAGTGTAACGGTTCTATTGTTACGTAAAGTATGGTGACAAATAAACACAGACACTAAGATACTATATATATATTTGGTCTAATATACAGAAGTACACAGGTGATACTTTGGTGTGAGTTGAGCGCACTGAGCGTCGGTACAGTATCTCGCAAGTGTCTGCTCTAGACCACACTTGAAAGTAGACTCTGGTTAATGTTTGCTATTCTGCTGCTTATATGCTCGGGCAACACCTCACCGTGTTGCCCGGGCAACGCCTCACCTCATTCATCTCCAAAGGTTGACAGGAATATTAACAAAGCATTTGGAGCGAGTATATTATTGGGATAATCTACTCGCTACAAGAGTAATGGATTGAATTATGCTTCCTCATTCACTTAGTGGTATTGGTTAAGCTTTATATTTTCTCAGTCATCTGGCATTGGTAGATAAATGCTAAGCACTTTGCTTCACATCTGTTAGCATTGTTTTAATGCATTATTAAGTGTTATTTTAATTAGCATTAACCCTTAAAGTGCGCATCACGTCATATGACGTGCTGGACGTTGTACCAGTAAACTGCGCATCACGTCATATGATGTGTTGGAGTACTACGCAAGATTTAAACAGCCCGCGGATACACGGGGTTCACCACACCTTCATCAGGGCTCTTGTAAACAGACGCCATTTTTTAAAAAAATCGTGGGCCAAACTCCCGGGTGTTATTGGCCTCAGTATTGAGTGAGCAACCAAGCCTGACGCACGCAGCATGAGCTAACAGCACTGCTGTTCAGCTTGTGACCACAGCATCGCCTAAAAATGCCAAATTATACTTGTTCATGCTATTATGTAGCGATGATATTATTACAGAAGACCCCTGACTGTGATAAAACTGACCAGGGTTCTGATAATAGCAGGATTGTGGTGATATTTAGCGCTGTGCGCCATGGAAGGAGGTGTAATGCTGTGGGAGGGAGGGTGGTGGCGATGTCTTTTGACTGTGTGTGGCCACCTTTTATTGACTGCACTCACCATACCAGCTTAGTGGTTCGCTATGGTGAACACAAATGTAGATACTTATATATAACGTGCGTATAGAGGGTATAAACAGCAAGAGAAGGTTTGGAGCCGCCATTTTGGTGAGAGCGGTGGCGTCGTGCAGACGACGGTGTTGTTTACTGGTTACCACGATGGTCTTTGGGCACCATACCAGTTTATTTGTACAAGTATGATGAATAAAACAGGTAGATATTTATATATAATGTGTGTATATAGCGTAATAACACCACACAGTGTTGTTGGAGGAGAAATATTAGTGCGTCTGGCCTTGAGGGCGGCCGCCGATCAGCTGACTGTGTGAGTAGCCACATCTCTGTGCCTTTACTCACCATACAAGCTTAGATGTACAGTTATGGTGAACAAAACATGTAGATACTTATATATAACGTCTGTATATAAGATATATAGCATAATAACACCACACAGTATTGTTGGAGGAGAAATATTAGTGCGTCTGACCTTGAGGGCGGCCGCCGATCAGCTGACTGTGTGAGTAGCCACATCTCTGTGCGAGTAGCCACATCTCTGTGCCTTTACTCACCATACAAGCTTAGATGTACAGTTATGGTGAACAAAACATGTAGATACTTATATATAACGTCTGTATATAGTGAATTATAGCAAAAACATTATTGTGGGAGGAGAATGAGGGTGAGTCAGATGACTGGAGGGAGGGCGGGAGTGGCTGGCTGGTACACGGCGGTCACTCCTCATTACTTTTTGACTCATAATAGCTACTTAGTGGTTCGTTATAGTGAACAAAACATGCAAATACTTATATATAACCTGTGCGTATAGTGTAATAACCGACAAAGTATTTGTTCACTGATTGATGAACATAATTGAATCAACAATATGCATACCATATTTTTTAGTACACCAACGATTCACTCATTTTATTATATAAATATATCAAACTACACACTATTGAATAATATTACAGCAAAAAAAGTATGAAAAATCAGAGACATTGAAATAATTCGGTAATTATCTCTTTGTGGCAACTCTGGCCTGACAGCTTGCGAGCAACAGACCGCCTGGGACGCACGCTGAGTCAGCGCCTATAATTTGCCAGACTTCCCCGCCCTATAGCGGGCAATATATGCCACTTATGATTTTTTTTATTATTTTTCCCGTGATCAGTGAACACAAATTAACAGGTTAGAAAGAAAAAATAATTTTTTTTTTTCAAAATGACATGCGCCTGTGGGGATGGCAGGATATTAGACCCCGAGCATGTTAAGGGTTAATACATATGTTAGCATTAAGTTTTCTCCCATAACCAGGTTCTCCATTATTTGTCTTATCTTTTAGTTTACACACATGGTTTAATCTTTGGGACAAGGGAAGGGTATAGTACAGTAGTGTTAATCTGGTTTATATTAAACTTTCAGGCAATTTAAGCCTGCAATAACGTCAAACCTTATGTGGCTCAAAATCAAAATTATTTTATATGAACCCATGTTTTATTTATAAAGATAACAAGCTTTTAATTTATAAAATCCAAAATTACATATTAAATGTTAGCACTACAAAATAAGGGCTTGTATCAGAATTTTAGCTGCAAGCACAAACAATTTTGCAGATACTCTACCTGCTTTCCATTTTCTTTTGAATGATTTTCTGTGGGGAGCCCCTACGGCTCCCTGGAGCTTATCGGGCTAATGTATGTTATGTTAGACCGGGACATTAGCTAAGGAGTTCAGACCTACCAGGGACCAGCGCCAGAACCTGGCCCCTTCAGAGAGGTTTCAGGGAGCAATGGCCCTGGAAAACCCCATATGGTTGGGGGTTTTCCTTATCTGCCATCGACCGGGTTAGGCACCCAGAAAGGTAGGCGTAACAAAACAAACCCCACATGGTAAGAAACTACAACAAAAACCGAACAGAGAGGTAGAAAACTCCCTACAATCCCAAGGAAACAAGCAAACAAGCAAACATCACACTTTACTGCCGCGCCGATCGTCCGCGCAGCCCTCCCCACCCCGGGAGGGGGAGGGGGAGCCCCGGACCTACCGCGCCGGCTGCCAAGCTCCAGTTCGTTCGCTAATGTCAACCGGGATTAACGCTTCTCTGGCCTCAGTTTCCTAGGCGGTGTTTGCCTTGTGTGGCGTTCACTGCCGTGTGTTGTGGTGTGCGGTGGCCAGGAGTACTTCATCAGTGCCGGGGCTGCATGTGCTTAGTGGCTGACTTCCCTAAGCGCCCTGTGAGTACTGCCCTTGCGTAACAGGGTTATCTTCCCTGGGGCGTTCGGGAACCATTCCCGTAGAGGTTCTTGCTGCTCGGCATTTGCCTCGCCCTTGGGGCCAGCTGGGGCTTGGGGCCCTTGTTTGGCCCTGGGTAGGGATTGGTATTGTGCTGGTTAGGGCGTCAAGGTGTTGCGCAGCCTGCCACCTATGCGGCGGCCGGTTTCTGTTGCCTCTGGAGACGGTGTACTTTTGCGGGGTTTTTCTTTTGTTTTTTATTTTCTTGCCTGGTGGGGGTCTGCCTAAGGTGGTTATAGTTCCACTGGTAGTGTTTGGCGGCCCTCTGCTAGGCCCCCGTGCTTGTACACGTCTCAGGGGTTTTCAGTGCTATAATCTACCCTCTTGTTATGTTTGGGTTTCTTAACCGGTTAGCAACACCTTGCCCGGGCTTCCCGTAGTTGTTACCCTACGGGCCCTGGAAACCCCTGTCTGGGCTCGGGGGACCATTGAATGTGTCTTCCGGGTTCCAACCCGTCTTGAACGGGATCGTTGGTTGCTGTTCCCTTGTCTCCGGGTGACAGTCGCCATTTTTACCTCCGTCATGCTGCCTGTTGGGTCACTGACACCTTGACCCGGAGTCTTGCGAGTGATTCTCTGCTTGTTCTCCAGTACTCTCCTGATGTTATTACTGTTCAGAGTACAGGCGGCATCCATGTTGCAAGCTAGGTTAGGTTGCTGCAACATGCTTGGTTGGTTTCCCACTCGAATGCCCCGTGGCCGCCCCGTTTGGTTAGGTGCTGCTCGCCCCTTTCTCTCCATGTTCCCGGCTCCGGACCGTCTGCGGGTTTCGGGGTCGGGGCGGGGTTCAGTTGCGGCAGAGGCTCGGGCGGTTTTCGGGGGATGCCCCGTTCGGGTTGGGGACGGAGGTTTGAGCCTGTGCCTCCTGCCAAGGCTTCTGGGTCTTACCAGCGGCCCTTTCTTGTTGCCTTTCCCATGGGCTCTTGCTTTTCTTTACGGGCGGAGGGCTTGGAGGACGGCTCTGCCCCGGGGCCTCTGTTGTTGGTTCCCGGGGCTGTGGGGGTTGCCTGCTAGCAGTTCTGGGGCGGTTTTGCCCCTTCAGGGGTTTTTCTGCTGTTGGGCGTCGTTTTTCGCCCTTCCAGTCTGCTAGCTTCCCACATTTGCTGGCGTGTTTTTGTGTATTAAGCGTCAGTCACAGCCCCTGCTGGCGGCCATTTTCGTCTGCCGGTTTCCCGGCGTGGCCACCAGGGCGGCGTTGCGGTTTGTTTACATGCGTCTGGGTGTGCGAGCGAGCGTCTCTGGTGAGTTTTCAAAACATTTGCAGGGTTTTTGTTCTCCTGTTGTCGTTTCTTTGTTTTTCTGGTGTTTTCTTGCCGTTGCCTGTTCCTCTGGGAACGTTTGGGTGTTGATTTTGGGTCTGAGCCTCTGGGTTTAGGCTCAGTGCCCCTGGCTGGTATGCTTGCTCCCACACCTTGCCCCTCGGTTTTCGGTCTGTTGGGACCGTTTTCCCAGGGCGTTCTGCTGGGGTCTGTGCTTTGCCTTTTAGTGGTGTTCTCCGCCGGCAAATGTGGTGGTTTGGGCTCCCCCTGGTTCGATTCTGGGTTCCTTTGGGTTCCTTGG